CATTATATGCAAACTAAGTAATTAACGTTATGAAAAAATTTATAATACAGGTTGTCCCAAAATTCACAACTGTTTTCTGGAGATGTGAAAGAGGATGAAATTCTGAATCAAAAGTTCCTCTTCCACATTTTCCTTCAATCGCTATTAGCAAAGTCATTAACGAAAAAATTGGACCAGTGGCGTGCATTTTGGCACACTCTGTATGAAATTGAATATCATTGTAAAAAATACTTGACATACATGTGGCCAAATATTCTTTTACTACGAAATTTAAAGAATGTTGCAAGTATAATATGTTTTATAATGTATGTCTTTTTTACAATATATTATATGATATTAGGAGTTACAATATATCTACTATACATGCCACTGTAATATGTTATGCAAATGAACACTAATTATTAATTGAACAGTTTGGGAGGGAAGCGTGGAACTGAAATCAAGGGAGTACGAGGGGCCAGGAACCACGTGTCATCGCGATGAAAATAAATAAATGGTAGCCGCGTTATCGAAACAGTGCAGAACACCGTGGGCTGACTCTTTTGTTTATGTCTACCAACGTTTTCCCGAAAAAGTAGCCTACTTAAGGACGGAAATAATAATTAATGAACCGGGTGCCGGAAGCTCGAGGCCACGAGACTGGCACGCGTTCCCTTTTGAAGAAGCTACTGCGTTATTCAATCGGGTCACCGATTGCAATTGTCGCATGCTTCGAACATTTCAATTTTGTTGAACTTGTAATAGTAGTACTTCGTGATTTTATAATTTTATAATATTGATGTTTGTAGTTACGCGTATCATGAAAAATGTTGGAATTCATGTTCTGATATAATTGTCCATTTCAAATAATATAACATAATGATTCAACGAATAAAAGGATAAGTAGAGAAAAGTAAACAAAAATGAAGACCAGAATACAATCAATTCAACGTGATCGGCCTTCTAGTAAAACAGTTAATATTTGAATAAAAACCGGCACATGAATTGTGTTTATTTCCATAATGAAATGAAAACTACACCATACAGAGTGTCCCGAAAATTGTGGTACAATCGGTCGGGCGGTAATTCTACATGTAAAGAAAAGAATAACATTTTCTCATTTAATGTTTAGTTTTTGAAAAAAATTAGTTCTAATATCCGTCAGGTACCTCTATACTACCTGTAAGGTATACAATAATTTAGTTTTATGATCAGAGTTGTGTATGCAGCAACATGGTCAGCAATTTGAAAACCTAACGGATCTGACGGATATTCAAACTAATTTTTTCAAAAATTAAGCATTAAATGACAAAATGTTATTCTTTTTTTTACGTGTAGACTTACTACCCGACCGGTTGCACGACAATTTTCGGGATACCCTGTATGTATAATATCTTCTGCGCATGTAGATATCTAACCCCAAAATCAAAAATGATGGAAAGAGAAAAAGGGAATTGTCAAAAAAGAAGGAAAGAAGCATCTCAAGTGCGTTCACAGGGTTCGTCGCGGTTCTCCATAAACGAAGGGGGATGAAGGAGGGAAGCAATTAGAGGGTGATTAGAGGAAGGTGTTCTGGGTTGCGTTTCGGCAACGCGGTCCCCTTGCTACTTTTACACCCCCGAGAAGTCGAGTAGCAGACACCGAATTTCGGTGATACGCGGCTCTTACGATTCTTGGGGTTGTAACCCGCTTTCATCCCCCCACCATGATTTCTCTAGGCCATGCGACGCACGCTTCCTTTCAAGCCGCCACACGAGTGGAGCTGTCGCGATTATTGACTTAAATTAGACGTCGGATCGCGGCTAAATGACTTCCGGTGATAAGCTGTACTAGTGAGAAGGTCGATTAGAAATGTGATTAGAGGCTGGAATGAACGTGTCTGGTTAAAAAGACACTGAATGGTTCTCGGCCTACGCAAGTACGCAAGAGGGCGATGTTTCCATTTTTTAGTGATTCATTAAAACAATTTTTTGAAAAATACATATAATGATTGTACACTATTACATATGTAGTGTAGTATCGTTTGCATATAATAATATATGTATATAGTATACTAGTATAACTAGCATTCCCTTCCGCGGTTTCGCCCGAAATACTTTTGTTTTGGTGAAAAATGATAGAATTTATATGTACATAGATCAATAAATATTGTATAACAAAGTTCTAATGTGCACATTACGTATACATTCATGTACTAAAAATATGTTTCTTAACAGAGTCATCAGAACTTTTCTGTCTCTGATGCTTAACAATCTCTTGATTGCTGTGTTTGGTAACGTGTGAGCGTTTAAGAACGGGAAAAGCGTCCCGGAAAAGCGTAGTCTCGAAGAAAGGCGTGGTAATCGGTCGGCCGGCATCAAAGGGAAGAAATTAGTCGTGTCTAAAAGTGGTTAGTCGATCGCGCGGCGTGGCGCTTCCCTTTGACATCGTCTCAGAGGTCTGTCAAGAAGTTTCTGCGACCAGACTGGCAGCCAGCCACTCGACCGATCACTTTCTCCGTTATCTGCAACGAGAAGAGCCAGAAATATGAAGAAAAAAGTATTAATGGGGAAAAAATGGATAGAACAAACGCCAGCCAGGAATTCCGGAAAATGTGGGAGATTATTCTTAGGTATGATCCTTGTTACACTAAAAAACGTGAAAGATTTCCCTTGTCTTACGATCATTACATCGTATTTAATTATCACATGGTACATTATACTTACTATATTATACAGTACAATGTATGTACGTACATATGTAATAATAACAATATACATACATACAAACAAATATATAATGTAACAATGATATAACATGTTTAATTATTGCAAGAAATTAATTGTACACTACTCAATTCATTTTAATTAATAGCGTTCAGATATTTGAAAAAATCACTCACCTACACATGGAATTGATAAGCGAAACTAATTATTTGAAACCATGCCTGGTGATAATATAAGATCAAGCCAGATGCCTCGGTTATCACTAGACATATAATAATTTATTAGCTATGTATTCTGTTTTTAATTTTACCTAACATTGGCGTGTACGTACGCAACACAAGTTTATGAACGCAGTGACTCAGGCGATTAAAATTCTTCGTCGATGTATCTTTTAATCCCTGCGTCACTCAATGACTCATCAAATGCAGTACACTTTGAAAGTAGTAAAAATCAATCGATTAAAAATAACAGTAATAATATTATGAACAGTATTGGCATTAATTGTTAATTAATTGTTGGCAAATTTTTAAATAAAGAAACACTTTTGATTGTTTGATTGACCTGTGCTTCACACTATGGTAAAATATGTAAAAATAAAATCTTTAACAACTTTTTTGTAGGCATCCCTAGTGTTTAAAAATGTAACCAAATGTTTTTAAAAGTTCTACCCATCAGTATACTAAAGAAAAAAATCTGTTTGTTAATTTTATTATGGATTTGACCCTTTAAGGTCTTCACGACTTGATGACAAATTAATTCATGCGATTGGCTCGAAGAAGCACGTGCACAGGAACAGGAAGACAGGTGCCGAGTTCCGTATTTATGCGACACTTTGTCCCGGTCAGGGAACTGTCCCCAGAGATTACTACCGTTTAGGGTGAATCTCTTTAGCGGCGGAAAATATACCCGACCGCATCTTTATCCTTCTGTCAAACAAAAAATAGATAATCAATCTTAGAACAGAAGTGATGGATTCTGAACTTGAGTAGAAATTTATTAATAATTTGAAATATTATCAACATTTACTTTCTCTTTCATAGGTAATACGTCATTTATATTTTTTTTATTCAATTACGCCAACACTAATTGTACAATAAACTTAAAATTTGTGTGCAAATGGGCACAATGGATCAATTTATTATTTTTATTATCTCGTACTCGATAAGAAGTAAAGGAACATGGAATATTGGACATGTCATTTAGTAGTAATGGATGAAGAACGGTTGAGAAAAACGAAGAGCAACCGATGAAAAAGAAGTAGAAGAATAAGAAGTGGTCGGTTACGCCCTCAGATCGAATTACTCGCGATGAGATCGGCAGCAACAGTGGGCGTCGATCGGTAGAATCTTTTACAGCGAAACCTGATACGGATTTTTTTTCCTGTCTAGCGACTAAACGTTTGGCGAACTTTTTACCACTTCTTGATCTTTCCATTACAGTAGCTACAGAAAATATCAGTAGCTAATTAGCATACATTATTCATATTAAATAAAACAATCAAAAAGCAAATGAAGTTTTGAGTTAATGAATTCAAATAAGTTCCTATGTGTCTATATTAGAATTTAGTATGCGTGTGGTAGATGATGATAATTACTATTATGGGGAATTATTTTTATTTATGTGTTAGTGATAATAAGTACTATTATGGAACAAGTTTTATTTAATAGATACCAAATTGAATGATAAGGTGTCACGAAAATCGTGTGATGAGAGTTAGTACCATCTATTTGCCGTCGCGCGTAAATAAGAAAAAGATAAAGCGAGATATAAGAAAGGGAGATATCAACGCGTGATGAAGACATAAAATCTTGGTATGATTCGTGGAAATAACTTGGGAATGTGAACGCGAATAAAGCAAAAAGCCATTTCTCGAAGAAAGAATATATCTTGAGAAGAGAAAAAGGAAGAAGGCCGTGGTTCAAGTGTAAAACACGAAGAGGCGCGCATAAAGAAACTCAAGTGGTTGCACATGAGGGATCGAGACTTTTCGGTTATCCACGTCACCGATTGTTCTCCCTTCCCTTTCCTTTGATCGTTTATTGCCTGGAAAAGGAAGGGAAAATTTTGACGGTCTTTTCTGACCGTTTGACCTTTTTGACCTTCACTTTCTTTTTTATTGTTAGATTTACATCCAACTAATAAATACGTTTCCAGAAAACATTTAATAATTGCTAAAACACTTCTGATGATTTTGTTTGATAAAATTGTTACTTTTAAATAATGACTTGAAATTTTCGAATACATATTTAATTATCGGCTTTTTATTCTAGGCATGAAAAAAATAATAAATTATGTTCAATTCTCGTCGGTGTTCATACACCCTTTGAACGCTTCACAATTCTGCATATCTTTCTTGCGCAGGGGCCATGTTAATCTTCTCTCTATCGTTCCAATTTTAGTATATGCACTACTGAAGCAAGTACAGCTGTGTATATAGCCATTGTTAAATCATTGCGACACCGATAAAATAATTTGAAAAATTACCGACAACGTCTTATTGTTAGTCTGTTATTTTATCTATCTATTGATTAACTCGTTACATCGTGACTGCGACCTGTGCAACATGTGTCCGTTCATCCTTGGACAGAAGTGATTTATGAGAGGAAGAGTTTAGGTATTATGCAGAAGCAGCATGAAGTACTTAAGCTACGTACAATACCAGTAGAAAAATTCCTACAAAACACGCAGATTTTTTCAAGCATAAAGTTTCCACGTGCATGCCAGATATGAAATCGTGGTTCCTTTGTATCCGACTGTGCGGCGGATAACCAAGTCAGGACGGATCACGTAGTAGTACTATTGTCAACTGAGCTTTGGGTCGCATCTTGCAACAGCATTGCGCATCGAGAACGTGTAGGCGACCCTCAAGGCCTCGAGTTACAGTTTATTGCGCCGGTTGTCTTCCTCGGTGGCGCGTGACACACGTTAAGTCGAAGTCCTTTCGAGGAGATAGTCATTTTTTCTTTCCGCTTCTTTGGTCCTCCGCTCAGCGCTTCGGGGGAGGTTGGCGCCAGGTTGCGGCGCCTGGATGCGGGATCCCTTCCCATCGATATCGCAAAAAGGACTGTTCTTCTGGGAGGCACGGATCGATGTCCGAGAAATAGGAGAACGTTACATCGGGAACTTGTCCTAACTTCGCTCGTCCTTGAAATCTGAAACACCGAACGGAAACTGGGACCCGAGCTTTTCTCCAACCAGAAAATGTATTTGTTTAATAATTTATTAATTATTATTAATAAATAATTTTATTGATTAATTGTGATATGTATCAAATAATACACATGCAGGCTATTCCGTTTAACAGTGGAATATCTCGAACGGGGTTACAGCAAACAAAAATATGTTTCAATGAAAGTTGTTTGGTATTATTTGACACAACTATTTTTAAATCAATAAAATAATGCTGACCACTCTGTATAATATTAATGGTTAATCATAATTAAATTTATTCTTTAAGAGTATCTATAAATAACTATTTACAAAAAGGTTTAAACTATGTGAGATCATCGGTCCAGACATTTCCCTTATTATAATTATATATACATATTAATGAACTTATTCTTAATATATTTCGCATATTTACATCATGGAACTGTTCATAACAAGTCTACGAGTGTAGAATTACGAAATTAAGTCTTCATTAAGCTGATGTACTTTTTCTATGAAAAACAAACCCCCGCCATTATCACTCAAAGTATCATTTTCGACTACCAGCATCGTCGCCACGAAATAGGATGCAATTTAGTTATTACGGAGAACCCTGGGGCAGGTCGTGATTGCGTAAATTGGTATTAGGGGTTGCAAAGTTAGTAGACAGACCGACACCCTGCGGCGAGGAATACAGCCGGAGAAAGAGTGGATTGTCAACGGAGGATCGACGCGTTGTCGACATCTGCGAGCCCACCGTTTTTCCGCAATGAACTCACGCAACGTAGTCCCTTCCTTCTATTCTCCTACGAACGTTATTTATGTGAGGCTTATTACGGACGGTTTCCGTTTTTTTTTTCACGCGCTATTAGCATGCACAATGAACCCAGCGATAGTAGACAGGAATTTTCCAATGGCCTGATGGGTTTATTGGTAATTGCGAGGGCTTCGCTTGAAGGTTCTGGAAGTAGATGAAAACAGATGCTTTGCAGAATACTGTGCAATAGTTTTCAGTAAATGAAGCATAGAATATTTGAGTAAGTTATATGATTGAGGATCATTTTCACCAATCGTCGATTAAATAGATCAAAGATTAAGCGCAACCAATAGCAAAATTTGAACTGTATGTTGTTCTAAAAGAAGAGATCAATTATAATGTATATAATATAATTTAATACGTGATGCATAACTAATAGTTCAATAATTTCTAGATTAGTTAATTACGTTTAAAAATAGAAATATTTAGAAAGGGCTTTAGCTAGGCTAATTAAATTGATCAAATTAATCAAAACATGGTAAAGTGGGCTTAAGTGTAATGCAATTAAATATTACGAGTTTATTGAAATTAAGTAATTGTACGTTAGAGTATGTAGTAATCTTAAATTCATCACAGTAGGTAATAGATCGTTTAGATTTTAATTACTTATTTATATAGAATCATTTTATATAAAATTTCTGTCACTATTTCATACTGTTAAACGTTACACATCGTTTTATGTATTACTTCATGAATCTTGCGGAAAGGAGAGTACACAATTCTTTTGTTTGTATATTAGAAAGAGGAATATTTGTAAAAGCGTTCGATGAAGTGACGTGAGGCCTCTTGAAATTGTTAATCGTACGAAATGAGGATCTCTTTTCGAATATTTGAACGAAGCGTTCGTGAAAATGCTGGGTTTGTTTTCCCACGGAAGAGCCGAGGCTGTCCCAAGGGCGTTTTTTCAAGCACGTGTTGCGGCTGCACTTTGCAACCCTTGAAATACGCTAACGTTGTCTCTTCTTCGTTAATGATGTCATCGAATTCCCACGTATACCGATGTTTTACAATACACTCGAGTAACCGCTAATTCAATTGTCATTTTTTATCTCGTAATTTGCATCTACGCTATGTAATGAAATGTCGGTATATAACAAATTTGTTTCAAATTTTCGTAACATATTTTCAGTTGAAAATAAAGTAATTCACAAAACTTTAAAAGAAACTTTTGTTTAGTATGACAGCACGTTTGAACGCAACAGAAATAGAATTCTTCATGAAAAAGGGGTAAGAATCTGAATGTACCAAAAAACGGCGAAGAATTTGTAGAAAATCGATTTCCCGAAAGGGTCAGTACACTCGTATCGATTACTTCCACGGACAAAACAACTGCTGCATTCTCGTCTCGGTTTACCTTGTAACCTTTTTTGGAAAATGAAGAGACTACCATATATAGAAAAGTCGTAATAAAAACAGCGGCCTAAGTAAACAGTGACACGAGCTTCAACTAATATTCTACAAACGAACCGAGAAGAGTTTCTCCGGATAGCATTTTCGTGTTAATTGCGAACGATTTATGGAATATCGAAGGAAAAAATAACACATCATCAATTACCCATCGCAGTAATCTTTATTCATCTCTCTTTTTCTTATTATAGAATATGGTAAAAAGCTCGCTGAGTCATAGAATTATTCAGCGTGTACATAAGATTGGTCTTCGTATTAAAGAACATTGTAATAATAAAATATAGCATAATAATACTGTGCTCCATACTTTACCAGAGTTACATTAACGACTAAATTAATTTGTAAGATTTAAGCAAAAATTAGCTGAAGTGACGAAAACTGTGTTGCGTTTGTGCATTAAATTGTGTTAATCCTACCGCTTCAATTGATAATAATCATCGTACAAGATCATCGCATTGTTACTTATATTATGGACACTATCATTGATATAATTACGTATTTAACTAACATTAGAGACGCCTATTTTCAAAGTACCAATTTACGATGAACGATCTTATTTTCTTTCGTTTCACTAACATTCTTCCCGTTTCCCAAATTATTTATCAATTAAATAATGTAGTCTCTAATTAATTTTATTATATGGGTGTTTCACAGCTGATTTGTACCTTAATTTCCTATACACCTAACTACGCGTTCGCGTTAAATTACTTCCAGGTCGATGAATCAACACCGACTTGTACAAAAAGTGACTGTTCGTATCCATTCCTGCGTGATAAGAACAACAAAAACAACAATGATAAAATACGCAAAATATTGCAGTATCAAACACAAAATGTCAACATCGTGCTTGTGATATTCGACATATATTTGTTCTCAATTCACGAAATGAGAATAGCTCCAGCAACTTTTTGCATTGCAATCACACTTTGTTGTTACATTTAATTACTGTAATTTAATTCTCAAGCTCTAGATAAGACAGAATCTTGTTTAACTTAATCAAGAACTTTAAAACTGAAATTGAAGCTGTCACAATTTTTGTATAAATTCATAATGTATTATTTACATCATTCTCCTAATCTTCTATTCGTATAAAAAAATGCTTGACCAGCAAGCTAATTCCTCTTACCAACAAATCAACACCTTGTGCCGAGTACTATTCACCTGATCTGATACCCTAAATCTCATTCTGACTGAATCCTTGGTCACAATCGACTCACGAATGATCTATTTTGTCCTTCGCTTGAAACGATTCGGTATCTTCATCAAACCCGTTATTTTGATGAACGTTTTTCTGCCAACTGTCGCTACCTTCTGATCTGATCACAAAAATGAACGGACACTTGTCATCTCTGTCACCTAATTTGAGGTCCTGCGTAGAAATGGAATGGTAAGTTCCTTGATAAGTCTCCGTGTTATTATACACGCTGCCGTTGCTCGATTTTCGTAAAACATTCTCGCAACTTTGGGACAACGTCGCTGTAGATTCCTCTGTGGAACGGTAGATCTCTTTGTTGGAGTCGGTCGAGCTGAAATCGTTCGGTTTCGAGAGTTTCGATTGTCGTTTGCCGTTTAATAGAAGGGCACGATCGAGGGTCATGAACGGCATCTCGAAACATAGAGTCCAAAGTACAGCGAGTAGCATGGTAAGGCACAGGTTGCTGAAGAAACTACGAAGCTGGAAGTTTTTTTAAGATTTATTATTTTAAATTAGTCTGAAATAGGAATACGTTTGGAATTATTTTATGAAAGGAGCAATATTTCTAATAGGATTTTAAATATCTTTAAGGTAATTGCGTTCAAAATTAATATGGTATGTGTTACTTACAATTGCCATAGCAGAAATAGTCCCAGTGGTTCGGACCGATCCAGCTTCCGTCAATAGGAAAACGTAATGGCATAAATAAGCACTGTACGTTAGTTTACTGAAGGGAACCCAGCCCTTCCAGGACAAAAGTTGAGTAATGAAACCTAAAACAAAACAAAAATTGCGTTAAATTTATTGCAAAATACTTAATATTATTGCAAAAACGTCATTACAATTGCAAAAAACATTAATTCAAAACATCATTATAAAAGACATCGTGCACTGGTTGCTGACTGTCAATAAAAGATTACATACATCAAATAATAATGACTAGTGAATCATATTTATGTTTAACTCTCACCACCATAGCTATGAGAACAGCAGAAGATAATCCAGGAGATGGAGAGGGCGAAAATTTGCCTGTGGAAACCAGCGTAAAGGCTTGCCTCGATGCTATTGTAGGCGTAGTCATCGAAATACATCCAACGGGGGCAAACGAATATAAAGGAGCCGGATATCGCCGCTACCAGCCAACCGAGAATCACATACATCTATAAAACATCATCAAATTTTAATAATCAAACGATATTGAACTGTTGAAGAGAAGAGTCGAAATATGTTCTAGAATGTACTCTCTTTAATGACCGCTTTCTTTGGAATATAATGAACGCTTCAATGGAATAAAATTTTCTTTTCCCATTTCTAACAAGAAAAACAAGAAACAATTAAGTACTTTTCGTATATTACACAGATAGTTAAACACATGCGCACGCGCGCGCGCGCACACACACACACGCACGCGCACCCCCCCTCATCTAAGAAAAACTAAGTTAACTCAGATCAACTGTAAATAGTGATTTATGACGTTTATTTATACTATTATATTGAAGAAGAAATTTTTTTGAAGATTTTATTGAAGAAATGTATAGGTAAGTTAATCTAAAATAAATTTTATTCACGGATGAACTTAAAAAACCACTTTACCCACGTAATAAACCCACCCGCGGGAATAATGAGCGATTTTACTTCCTTGTTGCATAATGTACTATTTCGGAACATCAGTCCCCACTCCAGGGTAAAATTCGTTTGTAAAAATACTCGTTGATTTATTACTTCAGTTACTTATTATTTCAGTATTTGAAGTATTATTCAACGTGTTATCAAATGATAATTATTGAAAGGAACGTTTGCATTGTCATATGAATTATAATGGAGGAGTGCATAATCAATCAATTATGCATTACAAGAGAGTAAGAAATACTTTTCCACAAGTAAGCTCATCATTAATAAAAATATAATCTTTTTACGGCAGTTGTCCTCTCAAACTGATTGAAATATGGCAGTTATTTCCAAATTGTCGAATGCGTGAGGTACGACTCGCGGATGTGCATCGCATCTGGCATTAATGGTAGGGAATGTAGTAAATCTTTTACTGCAGGCACTTTTTGTTAGTGGCACGTACTTCTTAAGGGACTTGCAAGAGGATTACCTGGAGAAAGGTTTTCCATACGGTTTTATGGCGGTAAGGGTTTGTGTAAAGTAAAAGATAATCGAGGCATCGACCTCTAGTAACTGCAAGCCGCGGAGCAGTTGAGCGTTTAATACGCGGGTAATTTATATAAAAAATACAAAAAGACCGCGTTTTTCCTAAGGTCAGGCCAAACATAGTTTTACAAACGAATCTTACCATAGAGTGGAGACCGATTTTTTTCAAGGAAAACTGCAAATATATTATCATTCAGTTGCGAGTCGGATGAAATCATATCAAACGCGGACTTTTATTAAATGTTTCGGATATACGCGCAGTGCAACGACAACGCGGAGACGGCTGCCCGGCAATACCTGGAGCATCATCTAGGTCGAATCACGATTTCCGCACAATCATTTAGGCGATTGGCCTCGCGGTTTTTCTCGGCTGGCTCGGTACGCCTGAATTGCATTAATTCGGGACGATGCACCCGAATATCCGTGTCTGACGGTCTAATATAAACAATCGTAGTGCGTGAAAATTGTGGATTTAAAAGTGACAATGATCGTGCAGTGAAAGTTCCTTGACCAGCACCTGAAATCAGCTATGGCCTACCATTTGTTCTACCTGCGAGCGACAAGGATCTGCAGGATCATTGACCGTGACCTATCTTACTCGGAGTAGCTGCACTTGCGGATGAAGGAGTAAGTCCAGTCTCTACTGTTCTCTACTGTTTTTACAGATTTTTCAAATTCAATGTTCGCTACGACTTTTTAATTTCTCATTTGTTTTATTAAATTCTTCTTTCCCCCATCCATTCCACTTGAATAACGATTAATTTTTATTCATAATAAAGAACGAACAATTTCCTTGCACTGTTATTTATGTAGTTTATTATTCGTTATTTGCTTCAAACACTTCATACTGAGTGAAGCACTTTTTTCCCTGGCTACGACCGAGCGTCACTACTCGAGCTAAGACGTCTGTCACTAATTATAAGCGCGAGCGAATCGCGCGCTCTCATTGGTCAGTGTTTTTCGCTTATAATTCAAAAACCAGGCCCCATTTTACATTTTACCAAAGGAAATTGTTGTTCATAATGACGGTTCCAATATCTTTTACACAACGCTCTGTACGATATGTTTACGTCAATTTAATAAGATATATTTAAATTAATTTGGAAAAACGTTTAAAGAAACGTTTGATGAAGAATTATATGAATATAATTGCATAATGATTTGAGAGGATATACTTACACGACGAATTTTGATGACATTCGACTGATTTTTGTACAAAAGGTAACCGACAGCAAGACCGATGATGTAAGATCCGTATCTGCTGTAAACTTTTGTGTAGATCTCTATGTAAACGTTGGCTACGTCCATGTTGCTAATAACAATAAGAGTAGGAAGATTAAAATAAAAAACGACAATGGAATACGTGATGAAAAAGCTTGTTAAATTAAAAGCAGTCGTGCGTGAAATAAATCAGATGCCAGTGCGTGGTAACGAAAGATTAGTATGTTTGCAGATACAGTGAAGCCTATAAATATCCGTACATTTCAAAATTGAGTAGCTTTTTTAATATTTACTTCTTGACGTATACTAATGTGTGCGATTAATTCCTTATGAGACCAGAAACTATTGTTTTTTCAGTCGACAAATTTTATTGCAAAACAATGTTAACATTGTTTTGTTTTTATGAAGAATAGAAGAAAGTTAAAATAATTAACTCTCTTTGAACAAAAATGACTGAGTAAATATTAACAAATTATTATTCGTTTAATTCCTAATGAATGTTAAATATGCGTATTTTTCTAGATAATATTAATATAGCAATTTCGACAAAAATTTGCAAAAGAATGAGATTGAGACAAGAAAACCTAATTTACTTACTCTTTATAATAGAGCATGGTTCCAGTTAGGTTTAGGGTGAACGTAATTAGAAATGGTATCAGAATCGAGGTAATAAAGCCAAACGCAAAGACGATCCAGAAGAAGATTCCTCTCGTAAACTTGATCATTGGGTATAAAAAGATCGGCGACAGCCATACCAGTTGCATATCAGTCGCCAGATACCAGGATTGTGACATGCACTATAAGAATAAGTGATCAATTTATTGAATGAACTTAATAGGTAATAACATTTCCCAAAGTTTTAAAAATTTATATGAACAATAATAGTTAATAATATTAATATATTCTGCTACTTGATGATGATAAATAATAAAACACCAAGCTAACTATACTTACAATTTTAGGTAAATTAACATAGTTGTTTACATAAAGCAGATTGGTCCACCAGTTTTCTCGGCAGTAATCCTTGTTGGCGCCGACCCATTGGTCCCAGTGCGGACCCGAGCCAATTTTGTAAAACAGTGTGGCATAAAAGCCGATCATCATAGCATAGGCCGGCGTCAACCGGAAGTAACGATGGATGTAGAGTCCAAATACGTCGAACTGACCGCGAGGATTCTTCTCATTTTTTATTAGGCTGGTGTATGCCATCAGTACGCCGCTTATCAGAAAGAACGTGTCCGTAATTATGTTCGCGTTCAGTACCAGCATGTTTGCCCAATTCGTGTGCATCTTAAATTTTCAAAGCGATAGACAATTTTTAAAATAAAATACTAATTATGATTGAAAAA